AACCAGTTCTTTTTACTTAACTGTTTCAAACAGTTCCAAGTTCCTAACTGTTCCAAGCCCTAAACTGTTCCAGGTCGCAAACTGTTCCAAGTCTCAAACTGTTCCAAGTCCCACTGTTCAGGTTGGGACTTGAAACAGTTTAGGGCTTGGAACAGTTTAGCACTTGGAACAGTTAGGGACTTGGAACTGTTTGGGTCTTGGAACAGTTTGGGACTTGGAACAGTTAAGTAAAAAGAACTAGTTTCAGTTGAGAAACGAAGTAGTATATCGCTTTAGTGACGCGGTCGCTTGGTGTTATATTGTCGAGATTGAGTGCGAGTGCACTAATATAGTGCATAGACGTAAAAAAACAAGGGTGACGGTTTTCGCAGCGTTGCCGATATTTGATATATTTAATTAAAATTCAACTAAATTTTTATTATAAATTTTAAATAGGAAATCAATATTTAAAAATACAGAAAGAAAAGAATATCTAACATTTACTATTTTATATATGTTTACTATATGGTTACTAAAGTAGTAAAATACATATAAAATAAAAACAACTTACATTCCTAGATAATAAAAACAAGCGGTTCCTTTGTCGGTATGTATACATTTTTTACGCAGAGTTTTTTTAAATGTAAACAGAATAGGCGAAGATAATTTCTTACCATCAAAAAAACGTACTGGCGATGTTGCCATATGCAATATAATATATAATTATCTAATTTTGAAAAATACACTATTAAGAATCTAGTATCACAAATATAGTAGATAACATAATTTAAACAATTCCAAGAATTTATTTCTTTAAGTATTTAATTTAAGTTGCAGTATTTTGAAACAGCTGGAACATTTGGAACTGGAACTGGTATAGGATAGCACATAAACCTGTTCCAAGCCAGTTCCAAAACAAAACTGTTTCGAAAATAACAGATCCTGTTCCAAAGCGTGATCACTAAGTGATACTTTAACAATTTATTATTAAATCAAAAAAAGCACACATGGTACATTCTCTGCTTTTATTTAAAGATAGGGTAATTATTAGGAAAACTGGAAATCGTCCAATTTTCACGAAAATTTGTATACACCCTATTTTGAGGTCGTCGATTACGAATCTGAACTTTTTTCTTGGCGGTCTCTTACCGTTTTTCAGAAAAACGGAAAATAATTTCAACATTGAATTTTTCTTTATTTCGGTCCTATAAAGTAATAATTTCACTATATTTTCATTATATTATAGTTTATCTAAAAGCCACACTTGATTGAGGATAGAAAAACGTCCAAAGTTTTACTGAAAAACACTTTTCTTAAAAAATAACAAGGAAAATTGAGACTAGATGGAAGTTTGACATTTCATGTATCCTTCTTTCTCTCTCCTATGTAATGAGAGAGACAAATATTCTAGACCTAATCTAGAAATTTTAAAGTTTACAACGTTGCCATATCTTCTATTTTTTCGGGTGATTAGGCATTTTAAATAAATTACCTATTATGAGATCTGACAATAGTCAAATATGTATACCTAGCTATGTCCACAAAATTACGCGGAAGAGTTTTGATTGCATTGGTTTCAACTTCTATGCGGAGGGTGTTAATCTTTTGTTGATATATTATACCAAAAAAAGATTAACCCCCTCCGCAAAGAAGTTATATAAAGACTATTTATAACCACGAAGTTGTACGAAAGAATTTTGATTGCATTGGTTTCAACTTCTTTGTGGAGGGGGTTAATCCTTTTTTGGTATAATATATCAACAAAATATTAACACCCTCCGCATGGAAGTTGTAACCAATGCAATCAAAACTCTTTCGTGCAACTTCGTGGTTATAAATAGTCAGATCTCGTTGGTAAAATAGCAGTTATGGGAAGGAGCCGTTCTTCTGGCGACCGCCTTTCGCAATCCCAGAATGAGCGAAAAAAACACGCTAAATTTAGGTTTAGCATTGGCAACGTTGCTTTAAATGCCAGAAACACATAACCTAACGTTTTCAGATTGTTTACAAATTTATTTTAGCAAATTTTCCTCTAGTGTGCATAGAATTGGTTAAAAAAGTAACAGAAAATAGCGAAAACATAATTGTTTATAGAATACCTAACAAAATATGTGCTAGAAAATCTTAAAAATATGAGAAATTAAGAAAAATTCGATGGTGGTCTCTTACCGTTTTAAAAAAAAGTTCAGATTCGTAATTGACGACCTTAAAATAGGGTGTATACAAATTTTCGTAAAAATCGGACGATTTCCAGTTTTCCCAATAATTACCAAAGATAGCACCCACCACCTCCTTGTATGTCTTTGTTTTATAATTATTTGCGATAATTTTGTGCAACAAAAAGTTATCATACCAGCGGCAATCCCAGTGATTATTTATATTATCCATTTGTTCAAGTAAAGAAACTGATTTAAAATCACAAATGTAGTGCCAACTTAAGTTTAGTGTTGGAACAAACGTTCACCCCATCGTGTAGGAGACTCACCTGTCAATTACAATATTGTCGAATGTTGGATACAACGTTGGACATTTCGTGTAGGATCGGCTTTACCGGTATGCTAGTTGCAGTAGGTACCTTCTGAATTGCGTAATCTGGGATAAAGCTTTTATGTTGGTAGCGTTTATTTCATTTGTTTGTAATATTCCATTCTTTTTTAATTGTGGCGTAAACTTGGTTGATATGGCTTTTACTTTAAGTATGAGGAATTATATGTTTGTGCTGTGCTGTGTGGTTGTGATAAATTGTGAAATTGATTTCCAGTTTTCATATAAAATAATTGTGCTGTAACCAAAAACAATACAGGGGGCAGATAAAGGCTATATATTAGGGTGTCCGTTATTTCCCAAGTCGATATTTTTTTTTGGTGCCGCCCTCTGAAGTTTTAGTTTTTGGTCTAAAAAAAAATATCCAACGTATAAAAGCTCTAAATTTTTAATTTAAACCGTGCCAGAATCATGATACTTTTCCCATTTAAATAACATGGAATTTTTTGACCTTTTGCATTTAATTTTTTATCTCCAAAACATATGAACCTACAGCTTCGACAAAGACATATTCTAATACAAAATTTTATGCTCTACAAAAAACGTATCTTTGATTTTTTCCATAAAAAGATTCCTTTAAAAGTTATTCGCGGTCAAAGTTATGCACATAGTTTATAATCAGATTTTTCTATCATTCACTGCAAATTTTAATTGCGCCTTTTTATTTTGACCAAAAAAGGATCTAGAGCCATACTTTTTTCAATAAAACAATATTTCTTTACCAACTTTAATATGGATAACTAATATTGCGCCATCTATGATCAATTAATCAAAACTATAATTTAAGGTTATTGTATCATTGCCTATCAGTGTTCGTAAATATGTGTGTCAATTGAAAAGAATGAACAAATTTCGAGTGGTTTTTACTCTAAATATTACTTGTATCGAATTATCTTAATTAAATTAAATTAATTAATTAATAATTTAATTGCATTCAAAGATAAATTGTTGTCAATTTTTGGATGTTTTTTTTTAAATTGCTTTTCTTTAAATATTTTTCTTTAAAATGCAATGACTGTCTGTGCAGGTTATATATGTGTATCGTGATGGGCTAGCTTGTTTAATTTTTTATTTATTATTTGTTGACCTGTTTTTATCTAATTATATATTTTACATATGCAAAAACTCCTTAACATTTTCTTAGGATATATACTTCTTTATATATATTTTATTTTATTTTCGTTAAGTTTGGTCCAGTAAACGTCAAAAACCATAAAAATAACTTTTTTGGCTTTTACAATAAATTTTATATAACACTTGCAGAATAAACTACTTTAATGCTTCTTTGGACAGTTTTTGTAATGATTGGATGCTATAGTTTGTTGTTTTCTAATTATGTTTTTCTTTTAAATTTGAGTGTGCTACCTTGGACGTATTAAACATTAGTTAGTTACTCAGTAAATAATTTTTAACCTATTATTTAATCGCTTAAATATGCTTATTCCCAATAATTTTTTGCTCTAGCGATAACCTAAAATCAAATTAGCTTTTGTGGAAAATTAGTTTTATTAGTTATCGTTAGACTATAACGTCACTATTTATTATGAAATTACTGAATATAATATAGCATCAGTTTTTTTTTCTGTTGCATTATTTCATTCATTTTAAATGGCCACTATGCTATGGTGCGATCCTATGGTATATCGTTTTTCACTTGATTTACTATTTTTTTAATTATTTTATCTTATTTGAGACTAACTCTAGTGCAGCTTATATGTATATAATTGCCATAACATAATAAAAGATAGAGGTCATTTTTAACAATTATTTTTAACAAAGATGGAGCTCATTTTTAACAATTTCAATACAATTAAATAAAAAAGATGATGGTTCTATAGACAAATTAGTTTTGAGTAAATGAAACATATAGCATAATAGTTGACTAATTTATAGTATATTTTAATTTATTGTTGTATATTATAATTTTTAAAAATGTTAATATTTTCTTAAAAATTTATTTTTTAATATCGTATAGTTACTTGTGTACAGAAAAGAAATACATGTGTTTAGAGTAGTAAACTTTATGTTAAATATTACTAAATCATTAGTATTTGCCGCAGATAATTCTGTAAAAAATGCATGAGGCACGTAATTTCAATATACTTTTTAGTTTATTTGAGATTATTTTGTTTGATTTGCCTATTTTAATATGTTTTAAACAAATGTGTAACTATCTACAATATGTTTTCTAGTAAAAAAATAAGATAAATATAAAATATTATTTGTAAATAGAATTTAATATTCTTTAAATTTTCTATTACTTCCATAATTTATATGGAGCATTTCCTATAATAATTATGGTATGTTTTATGTATTTTCATGTTTTACTGAGTACCCATAGCTATATAAATATATTGTAGGTTTTAATTATCTTCACATCCACATATTATTTTTATATTATTTTATTAATATCAGTAAATTTCATTTTAACAAAACATTGTTTTTATTTTGTTCACTAATTCGTTATTTCATTGCAGTTTTAAGTTACCTCTAAGTGCAATTTTCACAGTAGGCACTCTTTTGCAAGTTTTTACAAAATTTGCTTGTTTTGAAGGTAAGTTATTGTTAGCTGGACAAAAATCACATAAATTTGCATGCATGTTGCAATGCGACGTTATTTAAACATATTTACGGTAAAGCGGGGTAAATAAAACAAAAATATTAAGTGTCCGCTATAGTTTATTATTTTGAAAGTTTAATACATACTATCGATCGACAGATCTAATCAGTTTTTTCTGTTTTTTACTCTTTTAAGAAACACGCACATGTAAAAAAATATTATGTCAGTATAAAGGGCGTTTCAAATATATTTTCAAATTAAAGTTTTATATTTTTGAATGTATATATGTTTTAGTTGTGCATTTACCATTAAATTAACATTACAAAAATACCTTATTTGTTGTTTATTTACTTGTTTACGTTTATTTACAACTTGCCAACAACAAAATAACTATACTAAGTACCGTATAATAGTAGTATTCTTTCGTTCTGAACGAACTGAAAATTTTCACTTAAACTGATTTATTCCCTTTACGTAACTTGTTTATTTTTTCAGATAAAAAAATCGAAATTTGGTATGCTAGTATATGACATAAAGTAGGATTGATTGACGTATTCAATTGTTTTTGGTCACTTCCTCTTTCACCGGAAACGACTACAACTTTTGATTTTTAAATGACACCCTCGGTATTTTTTTTACTTTATTTGATAGAAAATGGCAATCTAAATGGAATAACATATCATATGTCAACTTTGACATTTTCGCATATGGTTTATTTGAAATTATTGTAACATGCGGTTTATAACGACAATTTGACTCGAAAGACCAAGTGTGTGGTACCAAATTATTCGTACAAAAATGCTTTTTCTAAACATGCTAATGAGCCACACTTGTTCCATTTGAAAAAATTAAGATATGATTAAAAATACGATTGGGGCATCTTTTAACCAGGCCAGGAGAAGACACGAAAAACATTAAACGATCAAATATATTTTTCCCAAGGCTCCTTGATTAAAAGTTAAGTGTTTTTAAACACACCCGGTGGCACTCGTTTACCCGAAATTAAAAATTCGTTTTATTTTTAACTGAAAATGACGAAAGTTGACATATGATATGTCATTCTCTTCAGAGTGTCATTTTCTATCGAATAAAGTAAAAATATACCGAAGGTGCCATTTAAAAATCAAGAGTTGTAGTAATTTTCGGTGAAACAGGAAGTGACCAAAACCAACTGAATACGTCAATCAATCCTAATTTATGTTTTATACTAACATACCGTATCTCGTTTTTTTTTATCTAAAAAAAAGTTATAGGGGTGAGCCATTTTTGAGCTTTGCCAAATGTAAGGGTTATCTTTGTATTTTTTCATTATTAAAAATAGATCACCTTGTCTTTTTTATCATAAATACCTTGTACTAATGTAGCTGGAAATATCCATAAAAGATTGTGTATAAACATAAATTTTAAATTAAAATTAATTTATCGTCAAAACAAAACTTTTTTCAATAACTCAGTTTTATTTTTCTATTTTTTGTTCACTTTTCGGCATAAAATGTAAAATACCACCCAAAGAAAGGTCGTCAAAGTTGGCTTGGAAATGAAGATCGTTGTCATTAGGTATATCGTCGATCGTCATTTCAAATCCAGCTTGACGCCGTTTATTTCGATCATACGGTATATTTATTTAAAATTAAATGATGTTTCTTAGTTAATCACACATGGTTTTGTTTACCCCACTTTTACTTTGTCACGATGTTATTGTAATATTTTTTTTTAGATCAGACAGGAGTCGTGAGCTATCAGTTTACACAAACGTAAAGCAGCACGACTGACATCCAATTATTCAATACGAGTATACCATACATAATACCAACTTTTTAACGGTTTTATAATGCTACGTGTATATTAAAATGTTATATGTACAGGTATTTTTTTCTTTAGAGGTCGACATAATAATTATTAAAGTCTCAAAACAAACATAAATAATTAGGCGATATATTTATTTTCTAGTTGATATTTTGCCAGGAGATATATAATCTAACTATACAGGGTGATACACGGTTACAATAGGTTGGATATTTATGTAGAAGGGGTGATTTTTTAAATAATTTATACACGGTTCAGTTTAAAATAACGAACATATGAAGAAATTTCAGAAGAAACAGAAATAAATATATTTTTAACTCTCTATATGATATTCAGTTGGTTGCTTTGTACAGGTTGATTGTATTTTGACTTTTCTTAACGCTTATTCCAGATTTCAACTGTCAAATGCTGAAATTATGATTTTATCAATTCATATTCATATTCAATTACCTTTTCTCGCCTGTTTCCCATAAACAGCTAACCTAGGTTATAGGGGTTATAGGTAGGTTAATGCTACAACCACCGTGGATCATCACCTGTATATTATATAACTCTTATACACTTATAACTCATACTTTATAAAAAGTAGAAGTAAAAATTTAGCAATATTATTTTATTACAATTAATTAGTAGTGGCTGCTGAGCAAACAGTTAGGGTTGGCAGTATTTATTTCTCAAACATTAAAACCGGTTAGGTTAGGTTAGTGGGGGGGGGGGGTTAGGTATATAGCTTTTATTTATTATTAAGAAACGTGGAAAATTGTTGGCAGATATTTTTCTAGTCGCTAAAATGCCGACAGACAACGCGAAAGAGGCATGAAATTTTAATAATAAATATTTATATTTTTATATAGAATAAAAAAAATTATGGCATATTTGCATGATTGGAGAAATGTCACATTTATTTATTTTAAAAGCCGTGTGCAAAACGGTAGACAAAAAGATCGTGGCTAAATCAGCTGCAGGCAGTTATCAAAAGCGCGATATTACTCTAGCGCTGTCAGGGAACGCTCGCCGCCTCATCCATTTATAGTATAGATAAATCATATATACGATTATATTATAAATATATGTTTTTATTATTTCAATAACGATTTTTTTGTCTGCCCTTTTGCATACGGCTTTTTAAATTAATTAACAATAAACATGACATTTCACCAATCGACATGCATGTATGCGATTATTTTTTTTTGTTAAAATTTCATGCCTCTTTCGCGTTGTCTGCCGGCCACGAGAAAAATGTCTGCCAACAATTTTCCACGTTTCTTAATAATAAATAAAAGCTCTTTGGCAATTATCACTCGTGTACCTTATAATAATTTTAGTGTAAAAATTTCACCCTTTCGCGGCCACCCCTCTTTAAGCCTCGGGATCGCGCTGGCAGACTTGACTATTTCATAATGGCTACACATAAAGATACTTAACAAGAAAAATTAGCCATGTAACGATGATAAGGTTTTTTATGTAGCCAGCTCTTGGTCTATTATTTCAACTGTAATCTAAATAATTGTTTTAAGCCTCTCTAATATTTACAATAATCTCATTATAATTTATAAATTTTACGTAAAACTAATAATTGTAAAAATGCAAGAAATAACATAAAATACACTGAGATAAGCCCAACAAACCAAATGTCCAATTTATTTTGGAGTTGCATTTATTAAAGATATTAATCAATAATATTTAGTATAACTTAGCAAGCTATTTTTTTTTAATTTTCATCTTTTTTATTGCCAACCTTATAGAAGAAGCCGCCACTGTTTATACAATCATATCAAATGAGTATGTTTTTGTTTTAATATTTATATTATATTATTGCTATTTAATTTACGAACTACAGAAGTAACGGAACCTACATGTAATATGACAAAATTTTTGTTAAATGTATTGTAATTTTAAGGAAATAAATTATTTTTGTTAATATAGGTAAGCAAGGTTTTATTTTTTCGTTTTGTCTCTATATAAATTTTTAATCTAGAAAATATAAGGCGCCCAGTGTCCATCAAGTAAAGAATAAAATTGTTTTACTTAAAATAACTAATGGAAAAAACTTTGGCATCTTAATTTTATTATAAATTTAGGCATATTTGATGGCGAATTTTGACTGATATCGTCGATGTTTATTTTTTACTTTATGGACCTACTTTATATACACATTATATACACTGCCAATATCTTCGGGTGCTTTTTTAAGTTTTAAAACTTTAAATGCTAAATGTCATGTGTACATTTTTTTACAGTTTTGTGATATTTTTATTTGCAATGTTTTTTTTTAAATATTTTTTAAAAATAATTGTGCAAATTGTATGCAGGAAAAAAAGAAATCTTGTGTATTTAAGATTTATCGAGCATTTAATATTAGATCTACTAGTAAGGGACTAAGCTGTAATAATGCTAAGAACAGGGTATATTTGTTTTGGCATTTTAACAACACATGTTAATTGTAATATAGTTTTGAAGTAACGATAAAATATTAGAAATTATTATAACGCTAAAAATTGTAAAAACAGTTTTATTTGTACTCTTAATTAAGATTTCTAAGAAAATATTATAATTAATGTGTCTTCATGTATTATAATATTTTGTATTAAATCTTTTGTTAAAAAACAAATATTTTTTTGTGGAAACTACAGGGAATCATTAAGTGTAACCAAAAAATATGTTGTGTGACTGAAATTATTAATTTATGTTATTATACAAAAAATGTATTCAAAATAAAATCGTTTAAATGTCAAACTGTTGTTTTCAAATATGTAAATAAACTTTAATATTTGGTCATAAAGCTAATAGCAATACAAAAATAAGAAGAAACATTTTTAATTGTTAAAGTCAATATAATAAAACCTTTTGATCATATAGTACGGCACGAATTCTAATAGTTTAGGGAGCTATAAAATTTTAAATTATCTATATTTCTATTGAGAGCAATATACAGGGTGGTCCGAATTGTATTCCGGAAACTTCGGCAGCTTATTCTGCAGATAAAAATAAGTAAAAAAGTTTGTATAAATGTATGTCCTAAAATGCTTAGTTTGGGAGATACAGGGTGTAGAACTTTCATTTTTATTTCGATTTTTTTCAAATAATTTATGAACTAACCTCAATATTTAGATGAAAATTGGTCCCTGGGAGTTTTTTGATATGAGAAATTTGATTTTGATGTCAATATGACTCCTATTTGTAGAGGGCGCCACCTATATAATTTTTAACTGGTTTGAAGAGTAATAACTCTTCGTCCGTAACTGTATAAAACTACTGAATAAAAAAATTATATTTACGAAGTTTTTTATGTAAAAAATGTCTCTTGGTTAAAATCGCTACGAGTAATGGTTCTCGAGATATTTGGAATTGAAATTATCAATACCTATCATCATTGACATAAAATTAAACATGTTGACTAAATAGTTATTAGACTGAAATCATAAATTTGAAATGTTTTTGTGCCAAAAGTTCAAAAGAAACTGTTTTATCGTTGTTTTTTCGCAGAAAAGTTTATGATTAATTTATTATATATTATTATTTACTTTATTACATATTTTAAATAAACCGTAAGTATATATGATCTAGGAAATAAACCAATAAAATTGCATAAAATCAACAACGGACGACGCATATACCGATCTGTGTACCTATTCTTGACCGCTCACATCTTCAAACATCGCTCGCATATTCGAGAGCGCCATATAACAATACATGTAAATACGCATACGCAAAATGCGGACGATGTCAAGAATAGCAACAATGGTCATCGAAACGATCGAAACTGCTTGGTCTGGATTTCAATGGGTAAGACAGTGATGTAGACAGCTTATCAAAATGTATTAAAAAGAGATAAAAGTTGAGTTGATATATTTTTTCTATGCGGTATTGCCGGATTTTGCATCAAAATTTCAAACCACACAAATAGGCGTTTACAAGAAACATTACATCTAGGGTTGGAACTCTATTTTTCACAATTAGTTACTCATTTTATTACAGTTCTATGTTTTTAAAAGAGTTTATTTTTTTCTACACACGTAAAAACCGGCAACATTGTATGCCGTTTTTTATTTTGTCTCTCTGTCCGTGAACCGATCATTTATATTTATCTCTGTCGCATGCACTAAATTACAGACCACGTAGTTTCGACGACGATCGGTATAATCGCCTAGAAAATTGTAATGTCACAGTCACAGATAATGTGTCGCTATGATGTGTCGTACAAATTCATAGTACACCAATTAATTCAATAATTAATTGATACAAATGCGCCATTTACTTTTTATTTTTGCCATGGAGTTAGAAATATGGAGGGCTTAAAAGTTAGAAATTAGGGATAACCTTGTTAAAAACTTCATTATCGTCATATCGTCATTATTAAAAACATTCGGTTTTTATCATAGAGTTAACAAATAAAAGTTTTTATGATTTATAAAGTTTATGGCCACAAAATTAATAATGCTCTTATACATTATAAATATTCAATACGCCATTTGTGTCCATTTGTATTTTTTACCCTTTATTAACTAAAAAACATATACCTACATTATCACAGACTTACTTAATTCAGTTTATATCTGCAATTTACATATATATTGTTAAATAACACTTAAGGGATACAGAATTTATGAGCTGATAAAAAATAAAATGGCCTAATATTACGGTTCTTCCATTATCCCTATCATTGTGAATTAAAATAGTATTTAATTTAATTTTAAGTATAAATGGACCCAATAAAATTTCTGAAAGCATAATAAAACGTTTAAGTGAAAAACGTTCGGTACCTGCTTTATTCAGCAATAAATACATTAACACAAAAAAAGTGTACTAATAACACCTTTAAAATATGACTGAAATAATAAATTTGAAATGTTTTTGTGCCAAAAGTTCAAAAGAAACTCTTTTATCATTGTTTTTTCGCAGAAAAGTTTATGATTAATTTAAAAAAATAAAAATTTCCCAAATTTATTATTTCAGTCAAGTAACTATCCACTCAACATGTTTATTTTATGTCAATAATGACATGTGTTGACTATTTTCATTCTAAATATCTTGAGAACGGTTGCTCGTAGCGATTTTTACCAAGAGACATTTTTTACGTAAAAAGTCATGGAAATGTATATTTTTTCACACCATAATTTTATACAGGTACGGACGAAAAGTTATTACTCTTCAAAACAGTTAAAACACATGTAGGTGGCGCCCTCTACAAGTAGGAGTTATATTGACATCAAAATCAAATTTCTCATGTCAAAAAACTCCCAGACACCAATTTTCATCCAAATATTGA